TCTCGGTTATAAATCTTTTTTTCTACTAATTACGGCGATAAGGGTACGACGTCGTAAATCATCGAAATAATTGGCCGCGCACGGCCAGTCACGCATTGTGTGCGATCCTATTTACGTGTACGATCCTTTTAACGCCTGTCCGCGAGCACAGAAGGGCCATCACGATATAGCTATTAAGTTCTCAAACGCATCGGGCGAAAACCAATCCGGAAAAATTCCTCTCGCTGCGACATTTAGTCACGCTTAATCGAGCATTAAGTGTGAGATGACGTGTGAATGAGTTCCGAGCTGTGCTCATTAATCTTTTTCCCTCAATGTTTTATTTTAAGTGTCAGCGAAATCTATTAATTTTTTACGAATACATAAACCGAGGGGAAGAATCCGACAAATGAGTTTCCAATTGAATTAAGGAAGGACACCATAAAAATATATAAGTAATAAAGATGAAGTAATAGTAAAAAAGAAAATTGTATTACTTTTATTTATAAATTGATCTAAAAGTATTTGCATTTCAATTCTTTACTAGGAAGCTTTCTTTTATTTTTATTTCTTACGTTTCCTTTCTTATTTAGCATTTATTTAAATAAATGCTAAAAAAATTTGTTACTTATAATGTACTCGACACATCAAAATTATCTAAACAATATTATTATATAATGTATTATCACAGTGTTTTATAATTCCATTTCTTTTTTGAAAACTAAAGGTATATATTTAGTCTTCTGTGCACAATAATTGTACATACTCTTGTGTATCAATGTAATTTATTCCTTAGGCCGAAAAATGTAAAAAGCAATTTCTTCGTTAACTTAAAATAATGTAAGTAATACTTTTTAAAAGATCAAGATAAAGTGTTATATGATATATTTGATATGGGATGGTGTGTATGATCAGAATCTATACAATAATATTACTTCTCTTAATTACATATTTTGTCTACCACGATTATCAAGAAACTATTTCGCTGGAATTGAAGAAATTTGTCGAAGAGGAAAATTGAGATCAAAATTAACAGCGGCAAGTTTCTCGTACAAAAAAAAAAGACTTCCTCCGCGAGATTGCATTCTGACGCAGAATCGCGCCGGAAGCGCGGCTCGAAACCAAGGATGGAGCAATGAGAACCGAGGACAACGCGTGCAGGAGAGACCTACCAATAATAAGACTAAGTGGCGCAGGTTAATTGCCGAGATTCTCGTTCGAGCGGGATCTCTGCGACCGGTAGCGAGAGCAAAGCCGTAGGAGTGTGAGGGAAGATGAGCTCGAGCGTGTGAGAAAGGCGAGGGAGAACGCAACCTCCGGGGTAGATCTGCTATCTGGAGCCCCAGAGGGTACCCCGAGTGCCATAGGGGGACTATCGCACACCGCCTCTTCAACGCCCGGCGAATTCACCTCCGGGGCCCGGACTTCGCCACCTTATTCTTCTTCTTCCATTTCTTTCACTTCTCCCTCTTCTCATCTCCTTCTTCTCCGTTTCCTTCTACCTCGAGGCGAGGGAGGCACGCACCACGTGCCTACTTGAAAAATCAGCGCGGTTACCGTGGGCCCTAATTAATTTACATAGCGTTCACGGAGAGCGGAAGGGGGGTGGAGGGAATTCCTCACGGGTTACTACCCGTGTTACTCGGATTAATGTTGCCGATCGGATGCCGAGCTGTTAATCTTGTTAACAGCTACAACGCTGGCTGAGGCGTGAACAGAACTTTTTTAATCGAGAAATTCGGAACAGAACTCGTTTTGATGTCGATAACTTTTCAGAAATTGAACTCCGCAATCACACAATAATGCGTATAAGAAAATATAGAAAACTGCGGAAACAACAATGCGATTTTAATAAGGTTTTGACAGTTTTAATCGATGTTACGATAATTATATGGCTAAATTCGAAAATGTGTATATAATATTTGAAAGTAATAAGATAAAGTAGTACAATTCTGAATGAAATAAAATTTGAATCCAATTTATGAGAACTTCAACCCCTAATTAAAACCACTATCAATTGTAAGCTACTCAAAACTTACTATTTCTACCTGATTACCTTTAATTTAATTTGTGAACTTTTAATTTACAAACGACGAGTCATTTAAACCTAAAGCAAACATTTTTAGATAATTATACAAACTGTATGATTGTATAACCACTATGACACTCCAAATTGTATGTAAAAAGATTTTGAGCCTTCAATCGCCACAAAGTGAATATTTATTCATATCATGTAATATATTCCAAACAGAACGCTTTAAAACTATAAAGTGTCGTTTTTACAGCTCTAATTGAGAGTTAATTCTCATCAAGTATACAATAATGATATAACTCTACTTCTGTTCACACAAAAGAATATAAAATCCAAAACAATTATGTGCATGTATGTCCCCCTCCTGCACAATTTAAAATTCCGCGAAAGTGGCATGGCAGGGAAATAAGGAGGTAGGAACGAGAACTTATATATACGGAGCGCGGGAACTCCCAGATATCAGAACAGATCGGAGGCGACACTCTGTAGGGAATCCTCGGCAGAGATCCAAGTCCTGACAATGAATACCTATTAAAATGGTGTGAACAATGCGCTACGGGTTAGGTCGCTGCGTCTTTCGCGCGTGCGAGTTCCGTCCTGCGGTATCGCAGCAGCAACAGCGGACCAGCATAGCGACGCGACGGCAGCAACAAGAGCTCTAAGTGGAAGTCCCGGGCCGCAACCTCGCGCGCGGGACCCGGTGATATACTGCGAGATCCGCGATATCGCGCGGAGGCAGCCAGCAGCAAGCAACGCACGTACACAAACGGACGAACCAGCATCACGGAGGAGGCCCGTCCTCCTCCGCGCGTTCAATCCGGATTCGTGCTCGTGCATTACCTTGCATACGCTATTGCGCCCCGGTGTATCTGCCATCTCGCTTCCTCAGGTCCTCTCGAAACGAGGATCGGGCCGTTCCCGACTCCTCGCGACCGAACCGTATATGATGCCCACTTCTTCCGCTAATGGACTCCTTCCCACTCCGTTTGCCACTCTCTTTCAAAGGAAATATCGTCGCGACGTCCTATGCGGTGACAGTCACACGACCAGTTAATTGCTCCTATTTAGAATGCGTAATTGAGAGTTCCAGCATTTCAAAAAGTTGTAAAATTTTTAGATATATTGAGAAAAATTTTAGTGATTTTTTTAAACAAATTAGCACTTTTCTTTATCATGAAAATGCTAAATTTAGAAAAAAATTTTTATCATTTACATCTTGCATTCACAGACTTTGGGGAAAAAACAAATTTTTAATCTCTATCTCGATAAATTATATTCTAGAAACAAAGAAAACTATTTTTCATGGAAGTCAGGCTGTCGCATTTAAAAGAACATTTAAAACTAATTTAAATGATTAGGTAACCTTGAAGATAATTAAATAGCGATCGAAAAATAGAGTCTAAAAATTTCAACAATAAACAAAGAATTAAAAAAAAAACCAGTAATATAAATTCATGATTTGCTATGTTCAGTTCAGATGTAAGTCTCTATATTTAAATGAATTTTATACAAAAAATCCTTTAAATTCTTTACATGCATTATTATACTTTCGTAGTTCCAAGTATTCTCAATTTAGCTGCCTATTCAGTAACCCTTAATGATCATAATTGTAGCGTTACAATCATTAAGAATTACAGAATAGGCCCCTTAATTATAAAGTTAATAGTTACTTTGAGCTAATTGTTATAAAGAGACTTGCTCTTGAAGCAAAAATGTAATCTCGTCTTATTATACTGAAAACTTCTTACTTCTTAGAATAAATAATCTTTTTCGATCAGCTGACGCAGATATACCCTTTAAATTCTGATGCGATTCCTTAAAGAAAATGAGAAGTAAATGCGACGAAAATCTGATTTTTTCGTCTATCCTGATAATCCTCGACGTAAAATCAATGAGCTCGATTTCGCGTTGGCGCAGAAGTCACTTTGCTCGTCGCGAGATTGGAAACAAGGGACGAAAGTACGGTGGCGGATAATGGTAGAGGAAGAAGACGAGAGCCATTATTCCGCGCGGCGATTCTTCGATTGGCCCTACCTGATTGCGATTGCAGATGAGATTGCACACCCGTGGTGCAGGAAGGCGTTCTCTCGCTCAAGTTGCATAATTTCTGCATAGCAGTTGAACGTATTACTCACGGGAGCGAATCAGTTCTTTTCTTCTCTTTAAACGTAGAAGTAGAACAAAAAATCTCTTTGCTCCAAAAAAAATCTTCTTTAAATGTAAACAAGAATTCATTATTATCATTAATTTTATAATAAATAAATCGTTCAATCTATATTAATTGCATTAACATTTTAATTAATCCTTAAATACTGTTAATTTAAGTATATTTTTCTGTAAATTTTGATTGTGTGTGTATATATATATATATATATAATCGAATAAAAGATTTAATTTCAACACTTTATTTCCGTGTAAAACATGATTTTGATATTAAGCCATCATCAGTCAATGAATTATGAAAGACTGATGAGCAAGTTTATGGACCGCGTATTGTTTTCGGATCATATTGTCTGGAAAATGTAACGAGTATCTCGCGTGCTAACGAAACATTGTGGATAGGTACTTGTATTATAATAGAGCTCACAACTACGACTTATTTGTTGTCCGAATTCTACGTTCACTTATCGTTACGCACAGATGGCAATAATAAATTAGCAAATTAAATTAATAATAGGATTAATTAATAGTTAACTAATTCTATCACCAGCTTTAGATAGACTTAACATGATTACGCAGCGTGATTAGTAATTAACAAATATGCGTGATATACTTCTTGAATCAAATAACTCAGAACAATATAATTTAAATCAGAACAAATTAGAACAATACAATTTAAATTGAATTAAATTCTTGAATATATGCAGTAAATTTCAAAATTATGAAATATATACGTTAAATATTTACTCATAATGAAATTTAAAAAATATGATATACAGTACGCGATAAATTGCAGTAATATGTGCGCAATGTAACTCTGAATATTTACCTTGAAAGTAGCTCTTGGTGCGGAGGTAGCTTACGCTGAGTCTGAGGATGCTCAGTCGATCCAGTTTGCTGAGGATATTTTGCTCGAAGGGAAGTAATGATGCTAGAGTATCCAACTCAGCGTTTAATCGCTCTCGATGCCGCTTGCTGGGATTCGACTTTGTCACCCCGTCCTTTTGTGGTGGTTTTAAGCTGCAATGAGACAAATATATTCTTATGTACAATAATTCATGTATAAATTTTAATAAATTGAAAGAAGAGAGATAGAGATAGATAGATAGATAAAGAGAGATAGAGAGAGAGAGAGAGAGAGAGAGAGAGGTTATTTTTTAAATAGACTACTTTGTAACAAATGTGCTAAAAATAGAAAGTTAAGAGAATAAATAAATACACTTATTTGGATATATATATTACACTTCAACTAAATATTTTTTAAATTGTATTTAAAATTCCGTAAAAAATATCAGAACTTTTTAATATGTATGTATTCTACAACTTCAACGATTATTAAAAATATATTAAAAATTAGGACTGTCGCATTTTCGAGTAAAAAAAATGTAATGAGCGGTAATCAACGATACTGCTGATCCGTGGCGATGAGAGTTCAATAACCAGGCTTTTGTTCCGAGTTCCATGTTGACTAGAGGATTAATTTTAATAATCAATTCGCGGCGGCATGCCGACCGTCGTGTGTGCATGGATTTACATTTTACTCTTCATTACTGAAATCAGCGTGCGCTTCTCGAATCGTTAACAGCAAACGGGCTGCGTCCCGTAGGATTTTGATAATTAAAAGATGCCGGTATGCCAACCGGACTGATTGACACCCTGCAGACACGTATGCACCTCGACTCAGCCAGTCTTTAGACAAGAATATAACGTATGCTCGTAATCTGAAGTATTTACGCCGGCGAGCAAGCCACTCGATTCGACGTAAAAAGTGCGCATTATTTAGTAGTTATGACAGCGATAACTAATAAGTGGCTATTATATGTAATAACTTGATTAGCCAAAATTGACATAAATATTTCATAGAAATAAATGAATTTGTCTAATTTCACGCACAAGGAGTAAAACTTTTTTAAATTTCTAAATTAATCTTAAAAAAGTATAAAAACATTATTTTTCATTTTGTTTGTAAGATAAAATTATATATAATATAAAATAAAAGTATACAACACGAGAGAGAGAACGTAAAACATTATTTATCGTAAGCAAAACGAATTACATGCAATTTGATTATTGGAAGATTATCTTTTATAAGAAACATCGTTAATTAACAACATAATTTTTAAGAATTAAAATAAGGATGTTTAATATAAAATAAAGAAGTATTAAAAAACTATACTTTTTAAATTTTTCAATATTTATAATATATACACAAATGCAAAAGTAAAAGGCGACGCTGCGTCGCTTGCAAAATTAATATGTAAACTTTATTTTTAAACAACCCGCTGTCTATTTAATTAAAACGCTCACTACGGAAACCATTAAAGCGTATCATGACAGTTAATATCACACGCAATCTCATCACAATGGAACGCTGACGAAATTAACATTGTAATTTAAAGAACTCACAAAGTATCTTGTACAATGCTTCAAAGCAATAGTGAATGACTTTAATAGACAGAAAAAATATTGTATCTCTCTCTCTCTCTCTCTTTGCTCAAATTTTTGCTCAACTTATAAAAATGAAAGTTATTATAAAAAGTTATAATAACTTTCATTTTTATCATAATTATAAGTCACAACAAACGTAAGTTACGAATCCACGAAGATAATTTTTAAAATACAAACATCTTAAGCTTATCATATTAAGCTTATCAATAAACTTAATTTCACGCTTCTAAAAATACAGACAATTCTAAATTCCTTTAATCAATTTTTCGATTTTTATCTTCGGACACGAATTTTTTTTCCTCTTTCTAGTCATACAACCCAATACGTCCATCGACTCTCGCTGCGCTTAAAGCATCGTAAGTCATGTCGTTAATTGATTTTTGCAGATATACCCCGACGACGCCAATGACTACCTGTGGAATATGTAAAATCAAATTTTACGCATCTCTGTGGCTCCAGATTATTTGTTTAATTGAAGCACTCGTCAAGGAAAACAGCGACCACGCCGTGAGACGAGTACTCTCGGACTCGTCAAAGATACCGCGTTGCTGCGCGACGACCATTCTCGCGCAGACCTATACTTAGGAATAATTATTATTCTTACGTGGTATATACATATATTTAACGGCCTTTGCGCGGCTTTTACTTGCACTGCCTCCGAGGAGCTCGCCAAGGCTGTGCAAGAAAATGAGATGAACATGTTGGAACGATTCGCAGCCAGGACCAGTTCTTATCGCTGGTTATTAAGAAAATAGTGTTAATGAGATGTCACTGTGAACTTTGCCGCTCCTAGAGATGTCTCTTATCTTCCTGCTTTTGTTATGCTACATGTTGTTTGTAAGAAGATTATATAAAATAAACATTCGTTATAAAATAATTGGGCTAGAAATGACTTTTAGTAAAATTATTGTTCTATCTTTTTAATTGATATTTTATTTATTTTAAGAAGATTCGAAAATATGAATCTTTATATCTGGGAATCTTTATATTCTATTTCTATAATAGAAAGCTTCATATCTATTATTTTAAACATTAGATTTAACTCATTTAACATACCTACAGAATTCACTTGCAATAAATAATTTAAAACATAACACAATTTTTTTCACATATTGTACTATTTTAGTTCTAATAATATTTTTATACATTTATTACTGTTAAATCTTAAATAGATAGAATCTTTAAAAAGTATAATAATTTTGATAATATCGTTATAAATTTTATTCTTAAAAAAATACACCAAGGTATTAAAAAATAACAAGATGTTGATACTTAAATCGACAATTTAACCACGTGTAAGCAGTAGATATATCATCAAAGTATATGACACTAAATTGCCTGTAATCATTCAGCAGAAAAATTATCTTATAGCCTAACAAGTCGGGGAAATACCTAGAATTTTATTTTTATCCCTAGAGACATACTTTTGGTATCAAGATAAACTCATTAAAAATAAATTTATTGAAAATTCTTAATTATAGCTCAAAAATAGCTATAATTTTACTGTAATATTTATAATAAAGAAAATATTAATATTTATCATTTTATAGCACATATCACCTGAAAAAGATTTAAAATATACATCCTCTCGTATTTTTGTTTAAAAATTGTAAATAGTAATGATTTATAATTCCGTAATTATCGATATCTTATTACTCTTCTTTTTATCCTCTAATATCTGTACTTGGAGAGGCAGTTTCGAAGTAATATATAAGATCAGTAGCATATGGGTCCAGTGGACCCAATAGGGTTAATACCGGACCCACACCATAGTGCCGCGCCTGCCCCATTCACGGGCCCAGTAATTAGCTTTGTTTTATCGAGGAGGTGGAGGGGGAGAAGAAAGGAAAACGATGTCCGGTGAAACACTAATAACATTCGAATAGGATTATTCCTCGCGGACCTCCCCGTCACGGATAATGGATTTGGTGTCGTCTAATAATTAATAGAGTGCTTCTTGGTGCGGCCGCGTCGCGCAGTATACGGCCGACAATCCCATTCATCACGCTTTCTAACCCCTAAGCATTTTAATTAAACAACATCCTTTTTCAGAACGTACGCTGCGTTTACCATATTCGAAGATTCGCGACTTCCGAGGACATCTTCAACCTCCAACTATCATTCTGTAAATTATCGCTTCAGGAACTATATGAGATATATGAGAAAAGTTAATTGATAAATAAAATATAGTTTTTCTCATACACAAATTTTAATGTCTAAATCAGTACTAAAAATTAACAATAAAGAAAGCGATACAGAGTTTTCAAATAATAACTTCAATTTTGAATTATATAGTAATTAAAAATTGATATTTTAATACTTCATAATGTTAGGCAAGAAATAAATCGTTTATCCTCTAGTTTCGTAAACAATAAAAAAGAAACTCTGTGAATAAAATAAATTTATATTTATATACGCCTAATAAATCACAAATAAGCCTAGTAAATAACAAATTTATGTTAATTATTTATATTTTTATACATATTATCTGTATGCAAATTTAGCTAATTAGTATTTAATTGAGCGTTCTAATTGCATCATTAATATCGAGATTATATTCCATCGAAATCAAATGACATGAAAGTAACACGACTCGGTTAGTATTGCATAACGCAAGGTTTGCTTATGCGTATCGAAAGCGTCTGTAGAAGCGAAAAATCATGCGAAAGTAACTACATGGATAGACCATGGCCGTGTGCACGATTATAGTTACCTTGGAAATACAAACGAGGCCCGACGCTATACCATTATCTGTAGGTATAACATACATACACTGTACCTCGATGACAGATGAATAAAAAAATTATAGATCTGGAGGAACAACGTAATGCGTCCCGCCCGAAGAATATATACGCCATATTATGCAATCGATATTTATTCGCCAACAGAAGTTCGTTTTAGGTTCGAGACCGTTTCATTCTTGCTAACTTATTGAGGACTGGATGAGTCCACCCTTTCGAAACACAAATTTCGATTAGGCCGCAGTATATCATTTTATGTTCATATACGTGCTTGGCGTAAGTATACGTTTTACTTCATGTGAGTAAGCGTTTCAACTGAACGGATCCAACAGAACTCGAAGTCCAGTATTTGCATTTAAAGTTGATCTACAATGTGCTCTTTGCTTACTAATATCTATTGACTTTTTGTCTTTTATTCTATTTCCCCGTTTTCTGTCGGCCGGAGTAGAAGTTGACGAACTTCGGAAAGACAAGAGATGAGAATGTATAATCGTCGGACAGAGTTCCTGAAATTACTATAAAATTCATATGAAATTCTTATATGCACAATACGATAATTAAATACACAACCACGAGAAATTGTGTAATATTAGATAAAATCGTTCTCATTTTACCAAATGACTTCATATGTAGTGAAGAAAATTATTCGTAATCAGATGAAACTGTAAATTAAATATGTAAAAGCATGTAATCTGTGGGACAATAGTCCAGCTATAGTGGTTATCCCCTCGACGTGACATGATTGTGACGATAAAATAATTGCAAAGAGAGAAAGAGTTCAGAGATAAGAAGCAAGAAGAGATAAGAAGCAAAACTAACCTAAATTAACCT